TCAGTTTGGGTTAGCTGTGCTAGCTGTGCTGTACTCCCAGCTTGTTATGCACCTGGCTGAGCAGGAGAAGCTCAAAAAGTCCTTGAGTAGTCTGAGCACTACTTGGCAACAGCTGAAAACATCAGTGTGTTATGAACATTCTTCTGGTACTAAATCCAAAACACAGCACTATGCTAGCTACTATGAAGAAAATTAACTCTATCCCAGCCAAAACCAGGACATGCCCACATCTGAGGAGCATCACAGGAAAGGAGATGGTACAAGCGTCACGCTGAAGCAATTAGTATGCCCCCAGTCCCAAATTCCTGCCTTCAGAGAGGAACAGGGGCTTTACTGTCTCTGGGTTGTATTTCCACCCACCTCTACTAGTAGCCTACAGCGTTCAGTTTTTCTAGCTGTTTCGCTACAACCAACCGCATGACAGTTTACTATAATACACTTGTACCATTGTAAAACAGCAAGACAGATGGGGATCTTGTTTCTGGGACATAAACAGGGCTAAAGGGCTGTAAAGCTCCGAGCCTCTTTAACCAGTCAGCTACCGATGGAGGCGAAGTACAGTTTTCTGCTGATCTCAATACAAACAACAAGTATTCCTGTTGTCCGCATAAACAAATAGTAACCACAACTTATCTGAACAGATTTTCCTGGGCATAACAAAAAATTTCTAACCATAAAACAACTTCGCTTCCAAATTTTAAGTCTATCCTCGAAATTTTCACATTTTATCATGCAAAAAGGAGGGACAAAGAACTTTTTAGATAGCATTTTTAGCACATAAACCACTGAGAAGCTGTGAAGAGTCATATGCATTACCCCTAGCTTAAACCACGATTCTTTCTATGAGGAGCATTACCCTGTCTCACATAAGCAACCGTTACTCCTACGCCGTGGTTTTAGAAGGATCTCCCACAACCCTCCGAATCACAATTCTGCTCAGAAATAACGAGTCAGAAAGAATGCTCTTTTCGCAGCTTTAGAGAACAAGGCTAATGCTGCTATTTTCACTTTCTTAGAGTTTTATCATCCCAAACAATTCCAATTCCATTTTGTTTTCTCTGTGGCCTTTGAACAATGGCACACATGCACAGAAAGGTTTTATTTCATCTTCTACTTTGAGTTAGCACCTAGCTCAGGTAAAAATGAGTAAGAATCTCTTACCTAGTAAAGTTGGCTTTTCCTGTGATGATTCAGGTTCTGCTGAACACCTGCAAGACCGAAGAACTATCACACCTCCGAGTACACCATCTTCATTGGCTAGAAAAGGTGAACCTGGGTAAAATCATTGGGGAGAATTATTTGCAACAGGAATAGTTTCTTAGGTATTTTATTTACTTCACTTTCTTGCCCTCCCCCTTTAATCTCGTCACTAAGTGTTGAAAAGACTGTCAGGTCAAGCAGTGCTTTTACAAAAGCATCAGTTTTATTTTTTCCAGTGTTTCTAATAAGTAACTTTCTAAATAGTAATCTACTAATCTACCAGTAATCAAAAAAGGAAAAAATAGCTACATGGAATAAAAAAAAAATTGGAAATTACATTTGTGATTGAAAAACCATTTGTTCTTGGATCAAGGAAGACATAATAATGAAAAATGGAGTGTCAAGTTGAAAAAACGTATGTCTAAATATTTAGTTCTTTCTGTACTATAATTAATATAAGGATGGCCACATATGAAAAAAATCAAGCAAATTTGGGTCACTTCTACAGTTTATTCATTTTTCCCAATTTAAAGCACTTTGTACAGAGACATCATCAAACTGCTATTGACTGTCTTTCTTGCTGTTTTATGAATATTAGCAGAAAAGCCAAAACACATCCTACTTTTTAAAGTGGCTTTTCTGTTGTTAATTTAAGACATATGATATAAACCATCTTCTATCAGAAGCTGGAAAAGTTTTAAAGTTAGCTGAATCATAGAATCATAGAGTAGTTTGGGTTGGAAGGGAATCAAGTCTAAGTATTCTTTTTCTGGTTTGTAATTTGAAATGAGATTCCTATAGTTTTAAACGTGGAAACAATGGTATGATTTACATATGACTTAAAAACTCTTGAGCCACAAAATTAACCAAGTTCTCGCACTTCATCCCAAATAGACCCTAGTCACACATTTGCAATACACTGTGATTTAAAGTTGAATGTACAACTACAGCAGGCATTTCATATATTTCTTTTCAATTATCTTCTTTTAAATAAATCAGTATACTATGTCTAGTGTACAGACACTGTAAAAGGATTTGCTGGCCACAAAAACTTCAGAGCAGATCTACTCGTCAGCCTCCTTCAATTTGCCCACAGCTATTAGTAAGATGAAAATTACTCCTTTAATGCAAACAACAACAATAAATAACCCACTAAGAACCAACTTCAAGCTTTACTGTAAGGAAAACTAAAAGCTTTACCATGTTCTCTCTCAACATAACAGCAGCCGTATTCAGAAGTGATTACAAGGTGGTCGTAACAACAGGAGTCCATATCACACGCACATATAGCATGCTTAATAAACAGTAAGGTCTTATTTGACCTAATACAGACAGATATTATCTTTAAAGTGCCACTTGCCTTGCACAAGAACTATTGCTAGGTGCCAATTACACCTACTGTATTGCTCATTGACTGCAACCAAATCGCTGTGAACCAAGAATCCAGCCAATCACAACATAATAGAAAACAAGCCATGAAAATATGTTTGTTTAAAGTAGAAACTGCAAGGCTTCGGAAGTTGTAAAGAGTTTTATCACCCAAATCAAAATCTTTTACTCCATGCTTTCCAAGATGTTAACTTTATCTCTCATACTTTTACTGCATTAACCAAATGCTGGCTAAGTAGGTGGTACGATTTCTGCAAGTAAAGGAACAGAAAAAAGTGGTTTTCTTCACAGGGGATATACATCCTTTAATCTTTACTTCAGAAACTCAGGTACTTCAAAGACAATGTCTTAACTTGAACTTGGTCTGCAGACCTAATCTTATACTCAGCTGCATAAATTATTTAGGCCATGCTGTGGTGAAAAGTCATTGCAGACAAAAAAATTTTTGTGTGGTTTTTTTTAATAAGCAGTGTTTCTCCTCCTCTTTCAAGGCCTGTGAAAGGTTCTTTCAAGGTTCTAGTGAAAAATACTAATAATATCTTTAATTAAAATGGTTAAAAATGTTCTACTTCAGCAGAACAGCCAGCAAACTGGCTATTTAAAGCAGAGAGCACATTTAAGGCCATACTAAAACACTAAGACTGTATAAATGTGCATAAAAACAGACAGCAACTACTGATTACAGACTTGATGCCACTAACATCTGGTTCTACAAGTGCTTACATTGGGTTAAGCGCTTACTTTTTTTTTAGTGTTCTTCTTCCTTCCACACTCAAGAAAGACTAGGTGAAAGAAAAGTCTGCAAATAAACCACTCACATATTTCTCCATTTTCCCAGTATTTTTGTCAACTATGCACTATCATCAATGATCAAATTTTCAATAATATGAATAAGTTGCATGTGCTAGGGTCTCTCTTTTTAAACCTTAGGAGAAGATTTGGCAGTACATTTCTTTCCTCTTAAGTCTGCAGCAAAACATGTAATGCTACAGTTTCATCAGAATCCTTTCATTTTGTCAGGGATTTCTTTGCAGGAACAAAACATCCATCTTTGTCAGTGGAGTACAGAATGAGAAAAGTAATCACTCAAACTATGTGTTTTGTGAGACTTTTTAAAAAAGGAGGTTTAAAAAAATTATTTAAAACTTGAGCTTTGAGCACATAAGACAAACTCTCAAGCTTACCATTTCATCCAAAAAGATGCTCTACCTATGCATGTACAACTATGCTCATGAGAACCCCAGTTCTGCCAGCATAAATAACATTTATTTATTTACTTGCTTACTTTAAACAAGCTGTCCACAGTATGGCCCTAAATATGTACACAATTGTTTTCTGAACCAAGTTACTTCCTTCAATGATTATGCACCACAGAAGCTTTATTACCAATCCACAAAATTTAAAGGCTTGGAAGCGCATGCTAAACACTGAAAAGCTAGAGAATTGTATTAATTCAGCCTTGCCTGAAGTACATTGCCAGTCTGCTGTTATTTCAGCTAGAAAACTCAAGAGGAGAACTAATTTAATAGCACTACACATGGTAAAAGCATGATAAAAGCAGTATATAGTTTTAACTTCAGCACTCATAAAACACACCAGATAAGCAAGAAGCTGGCTTCTTTAAGAATAACGCAAGTTGGGCCCTTGGAGTAAGGACAAATGCTGGTTATGCCAAACAATACCAGGTCTTAACTGCCCTAACTTTGTAAGAATCGACCATAACTGTAGTACTGGGGTGATACAGAGCTGAGTAAAATGGCTTAGAGAGACCTGTAGTGGGTAATTTGAATGGAGTATTCAACTAGGGGCTGTCTTAGAAGTTTGGTTTATGCAAACAAAGCAAAGAAGACCGGGGTGCATTATATCCTCCAGACGGAAATACAGCGTTACTTGCCCAGTGGTGCACACCATCAAAACCCAGAATCTACAGGCTGTCCTTGTTTGCAGCACCTTGAGCAATATACTACAACACAATGATGAAAACGATGGTATTATGTTGGGTTTCTTGTTGCAGTCAGCCATGCTTTGGAGCCACAGCAACAGAGATTGAGCTAAAATACAGTTGCAACTCAAGAAATTACTAAGATTTAGTATTTTCAGCTAAGCTACTGAAGATTTTTCTTTTTTTTTTTTCTTAAAACACAATCCACAGCAAACTTTAGTTTTCTACACCATTTTACCATCACCTGCAGACTGAACATTATTCTGGAAAGGAGAGGAAAAAAAAAAAAAAAAAAAAAATTCAAATTAGAATAAATGGAGCAGACAGGGATTTCACAAGCCTTTGTTGACTTTATGCATGCTTTTACTAAGATTTAGTATTTCAGCTAAGCTACTGGAAAATTTTTCTTTTTTTTTTTTCTTAAAACACAATCCACAGCCAAACTTTAGTTTTCTACACCATTTTACCATCACCTGCAGACTGAACATTATTCTGGAAAGAAAAAAAAAAAAAAAAAAAAAAAAAGAACACATCCCTTCTTCTCACCTCCAGACACAAACAGGAAATGAAGATGTAGTCACTTGCAAAACCCCTGTAATGGTTCATGATCTTCTCACCCACACCACCTCCATGGGCCATCTGTTTCTCTACTTCTCCTGGAGGTTGCCATCCACAGAGCCATCCGAAACAAACTGTGTGACTACTCCCTCATCCGTTCCAATTGCTTTCACCAGCAATTTCAGCTACACCATCTCAGGACAAAATCAGCAACAATATGAAGCATCTCTAGCTCACTGCACTGGCTAAGTTGTGGGGAATCGACCTCTGAAGAGTGGCAGCAAAACCCAGTTGCCTACAGTAATACCATTAAAATATTCTACACTACAGTAAATTCAGAGAGACTGTTTCTCCTCCCTTAAAAATCAGATCCTAAGCCAAATTAAATACACACTGAATAGCACATTCTTTAAAACAGAGAATGTATTTTATATTCCAATTAAAGCAATTTTTAAAAAGAAGGATTCAAATATATTAATTTTTTTTAAACAAAGATGTTTCTGGATATGTAGACTTATTACCGAGGATTACCATTATGCTGAAGAGTGTATTTGAGTGTATTTTAACACAGAAATACAGTCCAAATGAGTGGGTCTATGTTAAGCAATATTCAACAGCTGTACACTATGCATCCCTTATTAAATCTGTAAAAATAATGGTACAATAGTAGTATTATACTTTATTTCTAAACAGACTCCATGCACCGTATACAGGAATGAATTTGAGTGTTCTCAAAACACTGTGAATTTTAAAGGTTAGTAACTTACTTCATTAATTTAGCTCTAAAAATAATTTTGTTACAGCCAAGCCATTGAGAAAAAGAAATAATAGTGCAGACTTCTGTAAAAAATAACAATATAGGTAATGGCATTTTTTCATATACATTATATTTAATTAGTATTTAAACAGGAAGAGAAAAGGTGCAACTGAAATACGGCCACGTATATTAAAGTCATAATGGCTCTCATTAGAAGGAAAAAGTAACTTGGCTCCCACATTCCTACATAATTTTTACTCTCTCTGTACTCCTAAGAATGATAGATCTTGCTGTACAATTAAAAATTCAGTAAAAATAAAACAAAATATGCCTACTAGCCAAAAATAATTCTTTACTGCAATAAAATAGAATTGCTAGACAAATCTTTGATCTAATAGCTTGCTAATGACAAAACTACAAAAACCTGGGGCTTTTAATACCATTTTACATCTCATGAAACTCATCATTCCTTCCCAGTTACTCTGGCGTAACACTGAAGAATTTTGCATGAAAAATCCAATCCAAAACTTCAACTACAACATTAACTAATAATGTTAGCACTGGCTGGCCACACCAGAGAGAAGGGGTAGGAAAAAAAACCAAAACCCATCTTTCAATAGTTTTGGTTTAATCCTCACCTCCCCCAGTCACAAAATTATATTTTACAATACACATTTTCCTCCTTCAAAGCTCAATTATTCTGTTACTGCTATCGGACATATAGAAAGCATGATCAAGTTTTTATTTATGTATTTCACATATTATTAATCTGTAGTAATGGTCTCTCTTAAGAATAAGAAAACATATCTTCATAGCAACTCCACATTCAGTGATCTCATCAAGTTCTGCAAGAGCAACCACAACTGAACACCAAGACCTGGATTCAGCCTCAGACCCAGGATAGGACATACAGGTTTCACAAATGTTAAGGCAAATAATGGCCTCAACATTCGGCCTTGCTCTGGAGGAACTACAGCTACAAGTCAAGAACTTTTTTTTTTTTTTCCCCTATGTCTCTTGTAAATTAAACTGCTCCCATGATGAAGATTGTTTCCTCCAGAGCATGCAATCGGTAAGAGCTGTTCATTTCTGATCCTGTGCTTTTTTCCCCATTTGTAGCTACTGGACAGATCCATTCTAGCACAGGTTTGACACTAAACTGTAAAAAGTGTTTTATTTACACTTACCCAGCTAAAGGACTAACCAGCTGTTCATCAGATGTTTTACATTCATACTCTTCCACAGCAGAGAAACCATTACCAGCTTCAGTGTTTACATTAGCTTTCAAAGTCTTCAGAACTTTGGTCTGAACACTGACTGTGGCATGGTGTAACCAATTACGTGCTTTAGCATCCCCCAGTTTTAGCAGAGTGCAGCTAAACTGTTCTAAACCTTCTCATGCTGTAATGTGCGTGAAAATCAGACTTTTTTCAGGTCAATAATCTGTAGCTCACCCATGCCATTGGACTTTGTCAGCTTGTGTACAGAAGGTGTTTAAAGTGAAGCTGTTTGCCACTCTGCTTCTGCCACATACCCCGCTAAACTTCAGGCTAACAATTTAAATAACATGAGAGGAATATATAAGCACTAAATGAAGCCTGCTCTTAATTTCATGCACCATTATTTGTTAAATGTTTAAGCACAAGCTGTCTGAAACCAGAGATCTTTATATTTTATTGTAAGTAATTTAAAACATCTGTTTAGAATTTTTAAAGAAGCTGCAAGGAATAGCACCTGGACATCAAACTTTACAGGTCAGATGCTAAGAAATTAAGTAACTGAGGATACTGCTGTCCACTAAGATCCCAATGTTTTCGATAAGGGGAAGCACAGTCAGGACCTAGACAAACTCTTGTGTAGAATAACCACATTGTGTTAGTTTTTCAGCTGGTTTTATTGCACAGGTAAGGAACAGGCCTATTCAATTCTGTCTAACATCAAATACAAACTTGTGAAATCATAAACTTGCTGTGGATAAAATAGGTTATATGAAACTTCAGGATGACTTCATTCTCTTCTCAAATTTTTTCCTCTGTGTCACAGAGAAGACATAGTAATGCTTCCATAGCATGCTCCCTCTGCTATAAAACCACAAAGGATACTACAAAGCTTAGAGTGATGCAGTGCCAAAATATAAAGTATCGATAACACCGTGCAACGACAGTCATGGGCAGTCTCATAACTGTTCGAGTATGAGGCTTTTTTCTCCAAACATGGAGTCTTTTTTCTCCCAACAAGCCTAACTCATAATTGGGAAATATTCTATGATTCCTAACTGTCCAAACTCCTGCTCCCAAGAGAGGTATTTGACACAAACTTTCAAAAGAAGAAAGTGTCAGCATTATCCTTCTGCTATTACCTTTCTGCAGACATTGCTCATTTGTGAACTGAAGCAGAACTTGAAAATACAAGAATAGACAAACATATTTCCGCTAAGGAAAGAACAAATATCAGATTCCAACTATGTCTTTCAGCTCATTATTTTCTAATACTTTATAAGAAGCTTTAAAGTACAATTTGTAACATTGCCATTGTTAAAAGCCCAGTTTTCCCGCCAGTGAGATGACACAAACATTTACTCTAAGTCTACATTCCACAAACTTGGCCACATTTGAAAGGAATAATGAGTAACAAAATCCTCTGTTCTTCTGTTTGGAAGGTATTTGTGTTTACAGAACACCATTCTTCGACTGCGTACCAAGCCTTTAGCGCTCTTCAACTAAAGATATCAAGCCGATCTGATTTAGAAAAAAAAAAATCTAAATTCAATTTCTCTCACCTCCAATTCAACTATCAATTATGCATTATCCATAGTAAGCTGGCTCTGAGAAAACATGAGAAAAGCACATCTGTCATTAGTTTGCTCATCACCTGCTGTTTAAACAGCACTCACTGTTTAAGCCAGGCATTCCCTAGCTGGAAGGATTCCCAGGGCTCTGCGGAGACTTGGAGAGTTCTGTAAACAGGAAGCACCAATCTGATGGCAACTGCCAAAATCAGCTGTTCATCCCTCCAATACAAGTAACGCACATTTTGACTTCTGACAAAACATTCTAGCTCTGCTTTGTTAAAGCTTTTTTTTTTTTTTTTGGCCTCAGTCCATTATAATTCTGGTGAAAGTTTGACATGACCACAAAACAGGGCTTTTAATAAGAGTAGCAAGGAAAGAATCCACGCCATCAGCAAGTAGGCTATTAGCCCATTTTATCTTATTGTTTCACACCGGTAAGAAGTCCTGCATCATACCATGCATCCTGAGCTATCAACTAGCACATCAATGACAATGACAATTCAGACCAAAAAAACCATTTAGTATAAACCTGATGTTTTAAGTGTAATGCATTTTTTCACTTGTTGCACTATATTAGCAAGACGTAACTTTGCATTCCATCCTCAGAATTGCCAAGATCCCCCAAAGTTACACTGCTGGTTGCAAACTTAGTACTATGTCACATGTAAACAGAAAGATGTATCTGGATTTTCAGGTTTTCCTCAATCAGTCTTCATTCATAGGACAGCTGAGGGCCAACTAGATTTTACTTTTTCTAATGAAGACACAGAATTCAACCACTTCACCTACACATAAAAGGTGGCTGTATTTTTTTTTCTTTTTTTCCCCCCCCCTCTCCATTTCAATACTGTCCCAGAGTACCACTGAGAAGGTAATACACATCCCTACTGATAATAAAAATCCGCAGTGCTAAATTTCTTGAAATACAAATATGAGCCATCACTAATTAAAACATGAAATTTAAAAAAGGAATTAAGAAATACTTCTCTACAAATTTTTCTATCATGAAAAAGCATTAATTTGATACTGTCTCTCATTCTTTTCACTTTCCCCTATTTTGTTGATTTTAGTCTGATTTCCCAACTAAATTATCAAGCGCAGCCTTCCAATGTGAAGGTCACTTCCCCTCAAACAGTCAAATGCAACGTTGTCAGAAGCAGAGTTTAATATGGATTCAACATTATAAACAGGAATAAAGAAATTGCAACACATTTATTGCCAAGACCATGGGCAATGATTCCTGTGTCCCAAAAAGGCATGCGTATGTCCCTCTTTCAGTACTAATTAAAATACTATAAAAATGAAGTTTGACAATACAGAGTACAATAAGTGTTATGTTGTCTTGTCCACAAGAAATTTTGAAGGTCAAAATTGTCTGTGGATACTAAAGCTTAAAAAAAAAATTAAGAGCTATAAAGACAATGCAAGTCAACATATATGCCAGAAGCCTCACTGGAATCTACTCTATCTTCAGAAGTTCAAATATATAGAGAGATTTTAAATTTCTGTAATAATATTTTGGTTATAACTTGAAGAAAGAAAACAAGATCTATATTCACAAAAAATTAAACAGGTATAAGTAGTCATGTGTAATCCTCTCATATGAAAGAAAAAAAAATTGTTTTTACCTTACAATAGCCTTCAGTAAAATCTATTTCACTGTCATAAGAAATTAATTTCTTCATGTAAATAGCAAACCAGAATCTGTCTGTCCAAAGCATTTAATTAGAACATGCAGTGGTTTTGAGGTCTATTATATTTAAAAGGGTTAACATGACTGATTTTTATTAATGCTCTTAAACGACCAATTCTAAAAATATGCAATTGTGCACCACAGCCAGTGATTCAGGCAGGAAATTCTTTCTTCAAATCTCTCCAGGTATTCTGTGACTCACATAACAACTGAGATATTTCCAAGGGTTTTCCTTTAGATTTCCTAAAATATTCTCTGTAGTTTAACATTCTTTAGATGTAACATAACACCAAATTTGAGGCCAACTGCAACATAAGGGTTCAACAGAAATCACAAAAATAAGTATCTTAATTTTGTTAAAGAAGATTAACTGCATTTTAAACAATGTTATGCAATATTTAGGCAATTAGCACCATATATTTACCAATAAACTTGTTTTGCATAGTCTCTAGGAGAGCTTGGTGGGCATCTTCCGTTTGCAAAGCACATGAACATTCTCTGGCCAGTATGGTTCGGACAAGGTGCTCTCCACAACCTAAAGAAATATTAAGATTGGGAATAGTCAGAATATAGATATCACTACAAAGAAACTCTGACATTATTTTACACCATCAAATTTTTTTAAAAAAATGCATTTCACAGGTGTCTGCCTTTTTTTTTTTTACTTTTATTACTTTAGAGTGACACTGAGTCACACAATGTCAGCAGTTTTTCTCACAACTTTCCTGAAATTTCTACTGCACAAAGTCATAAACCAAAAAGGCTTAAGTATAGAAAGAAGAAACAGAAATAGTGAGAAGAAACAGCAAGACTATCTCTGACGTGTCATCATTATCCAGGTCTTGCAATTTTCTCTCAAAGAATCCACTCACTAATCATTCTCCCAGGAATGATCCTTGGAAGCAACTCTCTTCAAACCAAGAGCATCTTTAGTGAATGCCACAGTAATTACTTTGCATGATGTAATCTTCTATTTAGTCCATCTGATTTAGCCTTTTGTCAACAAAGGAATAGGTGAATTTACCTGTAATTTTTGACAGGGTTGTTGCTCATTGGGATACTAATAAAAGTTTCTGTGATTTTTAAAGGTTTGTCCTTAAGAAGGTAAAAAGCTCCAGCAAACAACCACTTATTACTTCAGTACTTTCTGTAACTATTCCCTGGAAGCTGTTAATGATGATGAAGACGAACAGGTCATTAGTGCTACTCTTACTCTGTAGGAATGGTTTCACACTGGTGGTTTTCTCCTGTGACCTTTTCCATTCCTGTAATGTGTTTTGGGACATACAGCTGTGGTCAACAAATGGTACAGAGCACATTTATTGGATCAAAGTTTTCTTGGATGGGAAAACACATTGGTGTGTATATAAAAGTCATTTTACTACTATGCCTCCCATTTGTTGACATTTTTCCTCAAATGCAAGGAAGCAGATGAACGATCGAGAAGAGATCTAACCAAGCACCAGTTAAGCTGAAATGAATTATCCAGTTAGGAAAAAAAACCCCACCACTAAAACTAACTAATTTAACAGCTGCAATATGACAACACTTTTAATTATCTAAATTGAGATGATTACAGTTTGTTCTTTAATTATGTAAATTTACGTGATTACAGTTTGCTCAGACTTGTAACTTCAGAGTATATCAGAGCCTAAAACTGCATTAGACACTAGAATATACAGAGAGCAGTCAAATACAGTTAATTCTCAATTATTTATATATATTTCTAGCAAATTTCTCATTAACCATGACAAGATGCAAACACTGTGCTGGCTCCATACAAAAATCTGCTATAATCCAGTTGGAATTATTAGCTCAGGTGCAGAACTACATAAATACACCTACGCAGCTTCCAGGGACAATTTATGGCTGGAAACAATCTAGCTGCTTTCACATGGCAGAGGGCCGGAGCTGGTAAGACATCAGACCTAACCTGGCTTCAGACAAAGGCAGCTCAGTCTCCACGGATAACATTCACTTTACTGGAAGCACTAACAAGCCCAGAACAGAGAAAACTGAGCAACCCTGGCTGAAGCCAGCCTAGATCTGGCACAAAGAAAGAACTAATAAATAAACCTAACCCAAACTGGCTCCAGCGCAGCCTGCTGAGTGTCTCCTTTCCATGCTTCTCAATATGCTGAGTTTAGAGCACTGACTGGTTTGGGGCACAACATTGCACGAACACACTTGGGCAGATCTAGCGTTGAGTCTTGGAGTTACTCACAGACAGGCTTCTTGTCCTTGCCACCACTATTAAGCCCTAATTAACATGGCAACCTACTCCAAAAATCTCTCTTTCTGGTTACTTGTCACACAATTACACCCTTCCCCTTAAAGGCAAAGTGAGTTTACAAATACTGTTCTTCAAAGACTGCCAATGTGTGTGTGTGGGAAGACTAATCATCCTCCATTTCCAAGATTAAAAAAAACAACAAAAAACCCTATGGAACATTATATTTGCATTAGATGTCAGAGAATAAGCCCAGGGACCAGATTGCAGAAAAATTGTGTAGACTTGTCCCAAAATCTTGCTATATTCAATCATCAAAATTACACCTTAGTCTTCAGTTATGTGCTCCTTCTAATGGGCAGTGTCTCCTGACTAATACAATTTGTTTAAACGGGATTGTTTGAAGTGGGGTACTTTGGCATTGAATCAACATATAATTGGCACAACAGAAAGACAAAAAATTCTTTGTATAGCAAACAGATTGAGTAAAAACCAGTTATAAATTTAGAGGAAAATGAAAGAGCTGAAATACTACAACAATTCCACAGCAAAGGGAGGCAGTTCTTGAGAGCACAAGGAAAAAAGTGTTTTCATTGAGACTGTCAGGCTCTTGAGCTATTGAGAAAAGTGTCCGGGTTAGGATATTATCTTCAAGAGGCTCACACAATACAGTGTCCTCAACACCTGCTTACCAGGAGGGTCTGTCCATTCATTGTCTCATTTCTTCCATGATCGAAAGCTTTTGCCCACAATAGAATTGAGAGTTATCTAATATTTATTCAAGACAAAGTAATGTATGAAGAACACAAAAAAACTGCAAGAGGCATTCTACCAACAGATCAGAACATGGCTCTCACTTTTGTTTAAACCAAGTAAATTTAATCATTATGAAATTTTACTGTAAAGAATAAAACTAAAGAAGCTATGTTCCAGCAGAAACTTAGCAAGTTGATTTTGTCTTGAAAAGAACCTGTTAATACCTTTAAATATAACATTTATACCCTACGTGAGGTAACCAGCATGGGACTTAGAATGTGAATGAGACAGAAAAATCAGAGCAAGCCTGTGCATCTCCTATGCATCAAGTAATAAAACCAGATGTTACTACTTGACAATTTTTAAGTAATTCCTAAATTGGCATCAAAAAGACAATAGCCATTTTTTAGCGTGATGTATAACGCTATTTATCCCAAGAGAATGACTTTATTGAAGAGTTCCCATAACATCAAGTCTGCTACAAAAAAAAAAAAATTAAGAGAGAGAAAACTTAATATGGGTTAAGAACAGCTGCATCCCACTGATGTGATCCAGGATCAACCACAAGGAAAGCAGCCTTGCAATTTGACTAACACATCACACATCTCTACATCCCCACAGACAAAGTAGTTTCTTTTTGTCATATTTATATCGACCTATAAGGCAGCAAACTTACAGACTGCTGCTGGCAGTGTACACAAAAATCTTCCAACACGTCACATGCCAGCAATCTGCAGGGACAGATAGCTAAGGAAAATAATCCCATCATTTTGAAAAGAAAAATTTGTTACTGCAGTTTTTGATGTAGGAACAACTATTTCGGAACAAGAAAAATAACTACTCAGCATTTCACATACTTTGACCAGATAAAGGCTGAGAGAAAGAATTACCCTAATTATTTCAATAGAATTTCCCTTCCTATTATCTGAAGTTAGAACCAACTACTGGAGTGTGAACTGCTTTGCAGGCTTAGCAGACCAGTATGCCTCCATAGTCTCAAACTGGGAGAACACTGTAAATAATACTAGGGCTAGACACAAAATAAATGTGTACAGAATTACAGTAATCGAAACCTAATTTATAACTTACGGCATAAAGTTGTGGGTTCAAATTTATAGTTCCATTCACTTGTAATCTAACCACCAGCATTAGCCAACTTCCGAAAAAGTTTTATTAACATGACTCAAGACAGCAACTACAGTCAAAGCTACTTTAATGCATTTCCAAATCATGCACATAAGCTGAAGAAAATGTAAATCTGGTTCATTTGCTTAACTATCTCACATTATACAATGTTTAACTGTCTGTGTTATTATACTTCGCAGTTTTTCACTGAATAATACTGACAACAGGGACTCCTAATAAGAATTTTTCAATTCTACATTAAAGTCACAAATGCACCTGTTTTAGTAACTTTCCTGTAAACAGAGTTTAAATCATTTTATTATCCTTTCCCGGTTAAGATGATGACCTCTTCAATAACCTGAAGCTCTTCTATCTCAGAGACAAACCCTTTGCAATGACAGACCAAAGCTTCCATAAGCCTTCACACAGGAGTGGCTCAAATGGAGATCACTATCTGGAAAAACTTTCTGGGTTAAATTAGTACTTCTCACTGAAATAACTGTTTCATATAGTAAACAAACTATTTTCGTAACACCGTAATATTGTGCAAACACCACGTCGCCTACTCATAACCCCTCCGTTGATAAAAATGCTACTGCTGGAACTACCGTTCTCCATGTTTGCAGAGGTAAGTACAATTAGTTGCCCTCCTCTAGGAGGCAAAGCAAGCATTGTTTCTACAGGAAACATACTGTCTACTTTGAGAAATAAATAAATACATACACACATGCAAAGACAGATATTTTGATGCAAGTTTCTAGCCTCCTAGGTTAAGGGGAAAGAAGTTAAAAAACCAACCAAACAAAAAAAAAACCACCCCAGATTCCTAAAGGCTCCAGAGGTACGTGGCAGCAACAGGCTCCTATGATGAAGCAAAGAAGGATAAGGTTCAACAGTCATAACATTTATTTTGCACTCAAACCAAAACGCCTGCTGAGAACCAGAATCTAAAAAAACCACCCACATTCCAAAAACCAAGCAACCAAAACTCACAAAAAAACCACCCAACAAACCAGAAAACCTGTCTTCAACCAGTAGCTTCTAACCTTTCCTGAAAACCACTTGGAGATCATACAGAAACCTCCCGATGACCATACAGAAACCTCCCGATGACCACACAGAAAGCATCAGAACTGATTTTCGGAGACACGTACCTTCTTGGATCACACCACAGTACAGATTCTAATGCTGTGTTTCATTCAAAGTGCAAAGCTGATGAACAGCAAAATATGACTTCCCTCTTCTGTGGGTATTTAAATGTGTAATTTCTGAAAATAATACCACTTTTACTATTCAGACACTCATTGATTCATACAAGATCCCCACAAGAACAATCTGGTAATCTACAATCTCTTTTTTCATAGTCTCTTTTTCTTCCGTTATCCTATTATAACTTAACAGTTATATACGTGTCAGTAGCCCTC